TCCTCACCTTATGCAAATTTTAATTTAAAACGTTTTTTTTTTTTGTAGATCTTTGTTTAAGTGACCATGAAAAAAAACAGTTTGCTCTTCGTGAGATTGAGAACATTTTGAAGAGCAATGGATGTTCATTAGATCAGTGGGAAAACATGCCAAAGCCAGATCCAGATATTTGCGGGAATGATAATGTGTTGATTTCCGACGAGCTGAGTTACGATAGAGAGAAGCTGAAAGCTGATCATGACAGAGACATCGTTAAACTTACAGGGGAGCAAAGGAATATTTATGATGAGATTGTTGATGCTGTCGTAAATAAAAAAGGAGGTGTGTTCTTTGTTTATGGATTTGGTGGAACTGGTAAAACCTTCTTGTGGAGATTGTTGTCTGCAGCTATTAGATGCAAGGGAGAAATATGTTTGAATACTGCATCAAGTGGGATAGCTTCTTTATTGCTACAAGGAGGAAGGACAGCACATTCTAGGTTTGGAATACCAATAAACCCAGATGAGTATTCAACTTGCACACTTATTCCAGGAAGTGATCAAGCTAATTTGGTGAAAGCAGCATCTCTAATCATTTGGGATGAAGCACCAATGATGAGCAGACACTGTTTTGAGTCTTTGGATAGAAGTATGAAAGACATTATGGGGAACTACGACATCAGGCCTTTTTCTGGGAAAGTTGTAGTGTTTGGAGGTGATTTTAGACAAATTTTGCCTGTCATACATGGTGCTGGACGACCAGAGATTGTGATGGAGTCTCTTAATTCTTCCTATTTATGGAAGCATGTCAAAGTGATGCAGCTAACCAAGAATATGAGGCTACTTTCTGATAACCTGTCTGCTGAAGAGGCTAAAGAATTAAAGGAATTTTCAAAGTGGATTTTAGATGTTGGAGATGGAAAGCTTGGAGGAGATAATGATGGAGAAGTTGTAATCAGTATCCCAGAGGAGTTTCTTATTACTGATGGAGATGATCCAATTGAATCAATTAGCAAAGCAGTGTATGGGGATGTTATTTCCTTACAACAGAATAGAGAGCCAAAATTTTTCCAAGAAAGAGCAATTCTATGTCCCACCAATGAAGATGTCAACAGGATTAATCAGCACATGCTGGATAAACTACCAGGTTATTCTATTAGCGTATTAACAAGTTACCTTTGGCTATTGAAATCACGTTTGATAATTATTAAATTTTGAATTTTGTAATATGCAGGAGAAGAAAGGATTTACTTAAGCTCTGACTCGATTGATGCATCTGATAGATTTTCAAGAAATGATCAAGCTCTAACTCCTGATTTTTTAAACACCATCAAGGTTTCTGGTCTGCCTAATCACAGTCTTCGTTTGAAAGTCGGATGTCCGGTGATGTTGCTTAGAAACATCGATCATACAAATGGTTTGATGAATGGCACAAGACTTCAGATTACACAGATGGATGATTTGTCGGTAAAGGCTAAAGTGATCACAGGAGAAAAGGTGGGAAAAACTGTAACCATTCCTAGACTTTCTATTACACCTTCTGACAAAAAGTTGCCTTTCAAGATGAGGAGGAGACAGCTGCCTATTGCAGTTGCATTTGCTATTACAATTAATAAGAGTCAAGGTCAATCTTTATCCCATGTTGGTTTGTATCTACCAAGAGATGTCTTCTCTCATGGACAACTATACGTGGCTGTTTCTAGAGTTACATCAAAAAAAGGATTGAAGATTTTGGTTGTTGATGATCAAGGAAAGCCTAAGCGTGAGACAAAGAATGTTGTTTTCAAAGAGATCTTTCAGAATCTCTAATCTTAATGTTACTTTGCTGTGTTTTAACTTATTTAAACTTATTTCTACTATTTTAAAACAATGTACTTAACTTGGAAACGTTGGTAGTGTTTTATTTCTCTCTCTAATCTATTCATACCAACAAAAGCACACAAGTAACTTGGATCGTGGAAGTGTTTCATTTATCTCTCTAATCTATTCGCGTCAACAAAAGCACACAAGTTACATACAAGCAAACGAAATTATCTTTGTTAACCTTAATACAAGAACACAACAGACAATCAAGTAAACAACATTCGCATTCATACAGCCATTGGAAGCACACAACAAACATATGAGCAAACAACATTCAGATTCGGATTCCTGACTTCTAACCGATATTCCATTCTTAAACTTCTAATCTATATTCAATTCCTGATTTCTAAGTAGTAGCTAAGTTTGGTTTAGTGGCTTACATGTTATTCAAATGCTAGAAGCTGTTTGTGAATGGTCTTCGCCTTCCTTTTTTCAATGTAAGAGCTTAACTTATACCTTTTATAAGTGCATCTCCTGAAATTTAAAACAGAGTTACATAAGAAAACAAAATTGTAATATACTCACACAACAGTACATTCTTATATTCAATGAACTTCATACAATTTAATGGCCTATATAAAACTTCTTAAAGGTTGGAAGAAAACCTGTCGATCTCAAGTCAGTGTACAGACTGAAGTATTTTGCTTGAACCTGATTTCGACAATGATTTTATCTAGGAGATATGGAGAGCTGTTGGGGTAGCTACATGGTACCAGCAGACGTGGTTGAATAAGAGACTGCACACAACATATTTATAAAGGGCGGGTAGACAATGAAATGATTTACTTTCCACATAATCTTAACGATATAATCACTCTTACCATTTAGGTTGATGAGAGATGATCCTTCAAGGCTGGGCTGAGAGAAACAGCTATTAACGAAAATCTTACTATTGTTCCTTCACAAGCTTTCCTCACCAACAGAAGCTACCATTTCCTGGGGCTGAACAGATCCACCATGCTTACAACAGATCCAATATCACTTACTGCAGAAGAAAGTGCTTGTGGTTGAGAGATGGACTTCACCTGAAAAAAACAGAAAGCATAATACATCATGTTTTTGACAAGGTTTCTACTACCAAAACGCGAGATCGTAGCAATAATGCCATTCTATTGCAATATACACTTCAAAATGTTAGTAAAGTTACTTACGACTCTGATAATGCCTTCCATAGGCAGCTCAGTCGCACTTGGTTTTCCAGATGTTCTAATCAAAGGATTTAAATTAGATCCATCAAACTCCTAAGAAGAAGAAAACAAAATAGTTATATATATGGCTCATAAACAAGATTTGAAAATCTTATATACTTAGTTCTTAATTATAAACTTATCTTAGCTCTTGCAGATCCACAGTCACTATTCTTTGTAGGATTACATAACTGTATGATTTATAAACAGAATTTTTTTAAATACAAATCCATATTTGTGTTAACTCCTCTGTTTCAAACAAATTGAGTACCTGGGATCTTGACAGGAGCCAAGTAGATTTAAACTTCTCTGATTTCTAACGAATAGAGCCACTCATGTCAGCTTCCAAAGTCTTCCACGCCTTCCTGAGAAGAAAGTCACAGTCTTGAACTTTAAACGACATCTGAAATTTATGAAATACTTAACAATCCTTCAGATTAAAAATCTATAAGATTTTTAGAATCATAGTATATACTGATTAAAAAACTAAAGCTTTAACATATCTCTTACAAGCCATAGTAAAGTAGAGGCTTTTCAGATGTAGTTATTAACTCGCTTGGTGATGCTATAGACACAAAAGGAGTTTCGTTTCAGACATCTTCGTTTTCAATGGAGAGCAGATCAACGCTTTGGGTTTTGTCGAGCTTTTCTTTCTCCAAATACACTTCACACACATCATCTTCACTAAGATTTCTCATCAGAACAAACTGAGGAGGAAGAGCACAGCTAGCTTTGCCGACAAAATAAAAGTATCAGATTCAGCTCATAATAAAATTACTTGCGACTATATTTTTATAATCTAACAACAAAACGAGGGATAAAACATATACCTGAACGGATCTGAGCAAGATTTTTACAGATCGATTAAGTTTGATTTCAGACCAGAACTGTCGGTGGTATTAGAAAAAGGGAGAGAGGAGCTTTGCTTTTGAGCTGAATGAGAACTAATGAGTTTGTGGTCGGGAAGATATTTATTTTTTCTGGGCCATGGGCGGCATTTTTTTAATGCATTGTGTTGCATTCTCTATTCTGGACCATGGGCCTTAATTAATAGTACTAATCTACATTTTCATAAACAATTTATATAATTTGTTATATCTTTTAATAAAACATTTACTTAAGCTTAGAAATAAAATGTGGGAAATTAAAACTCATATATGAAACTACAAAAATGTATAACATATTGCAAACTTTATGAATAAACATTTATAATAATTTCCCAATGACACAAATACATACTTCTCAAACTTTATTTATTTAATATACTTACAAAAATTATCTACTCTCTTAAGTTCATATGTTACAAAAATGTGATTATACAAACATATAAATTTATCAGGTAAAAAATTTAAAACAAATTATATACCCGCCCTTTCGAGGGCGGGTCAATCTCTAGTTGAAGATTAAATCACGCGTAAATGAGTTGATGAAGGATACGATTGTCAAGAATTTATTAATCCGTACACGAGGGGGCAGACTCATAACTCAGCACTGTTATATATATTTATTTAAATCCCAATTTTTATTTTCATCCTTTTCACATTGAAACACAAATAACATTGTGAGAGAAAAAAGGCAAAAAAAACTAAAAGGAAGATCCGCAAAATTTCCCCCGAAATTCTCAGATTCTGGGAAAATTTTTCATTCCAATCGAAAAATTTCTTCTTTCTTTTCTTTTTGATTCGTTCAAACGATAAATTTATCTTTAAGAAGGAAAAAGTTAAAACTGAGATCGTTTTTCAGTTTTAACATTTGTTCTTATTCGTTTGATCTTTGATCGGAGAAAAGGAACAAATCTATTTTCCTTATTTAACAATCACAGATTTTTCCTCTCTGTTGTTGTTAATCATTGTGATCATCGTCTCTTCCTTCTTACACACTCAAAAAATAGGATCTGCTCTGTTTTTTTACCTCTAAAGACACAAACCAATACCAGTTTTTGATTCTTTTGAGTGTTGTGCTATAACGAGCCATGTCTGAAACTCAGCAGGTTCAGAACTCCACTGGATCAACTCGATCTTCAGAGAATATTGAAGGTAGTTACTGTTTTTTTTTTTTTCATCAGGGATCCATTAAAAACGGTTTTTTTCCGTAATGTGTTTGAAGATCACAAATATAAATAATTATTTGTTTGTGTGTTTTGATCATTCAAACTCTCAGTGTGATTTACTTTTTGTCTTTTCGAGTTATCTTGTTCGATTCGTCTTGTCGGATCATTGATTCTGAATGCTTCTTTTTAAATCTATGGAAGATCATATATATACTATGATAAATGTACTTTAGGTTTTGATTGGTCTGTTAACATTTTACATGGTCCATTATCTTTTTGTAGATAACTTCAGGACGATGAAAGTTAATGAAGAGCAATCAAGTCCTTATCCTGATCGTCCCGGTGAGCGAGATTGCGAGTTCTTTCTTAGAACTGGTCAGTGTGGCTATGGAAACAGCTGCCGTTACAATCATCCTCTTTCTCATATTCCACAGGTGTGAGATACTTTTATTTAGCTGATTCTTCCTGCACAGTTTATGTTACTTTCATGCTTACATTTCGTAATATTTTTCTTTTGAAGGGTGTATTTTATCAAAGAGACGAACTGCCTGAGAGGATTGGTCAGCCAGATTGTGAGGTAATCCTTAAACTTGTTCTGTGTGAATGCATCAAGTTTCCTTCATGTAGCATTAGCAATGCTACTTACTTAAACTTCTTTACTTACTTAAACTTCTTGACTTACTTTAACATTATATATGTAACGGCATTTGTTATTTATGGTATCTTTAGTGTCTTCTTATTCAAAAGTGTTAACGAACACATGCCTCTTCTGTATGCAATTTTATCCGCAGTATTTTCTGAAGACAGGAGCATGTAAGTATGGCTCAACATGTAAATATCACCACCCAAAAGACAGGAACGGTGCTGGACCCGTGCTGTTCAATGTTCTCGGTTATCCTATGCGACAGGTCAGAGATTACATCACCAGTTGCATTGTCTTTGCAGTAAACTTTTATCTGATTTTTTATTGTCTCTCCAGGGTGAGAAGCCATGCCCATATTACATGCAGAAAGGAATTTGTAGATTCGGAGTCGCCTGCAAATTCCATCATCCTCATCCTAATACTCAGCCTCATAATGGCCAAGCTACTACATATGGAATGTCTAGCTTTCCTTCTGTTGGTTTTCCTTATGCCGGTGGCTTGCCGATGATGTCTTTGCCTCCTCCAACATATGGAGTTATGCCACCTCTTGGAACTTATGGAGGAGCTATGCCACGTCCTCATGTTCCTCACCCTCAGGCCTATATGCCCTTCATGGTTGCACCTTCTCAAGGCCTTATGCCTCCTCAAGGCTGGCCTACTTACATGGTAGGTCTTAAATATCTTTTTTTCCTGGCTCAAGTAGAGGCCTTTCTAAATCCGTGTGAGACACTATACATAGATAGAGATTATATTATGGCTCTAAACTTTCTCTTCATAGAGTCAAATTGAGCAAAAGAATGTCTTAGTTTGAATGTTTTCATTTTGTCCCACTGGTGCAGGGTGGAGCTAACTCCATTTATAATATGAAAACTCAACCTGAGTCCAGTTCTAGTGCATCGGTGCCTGTGGCAGTGTCATCGCATCAGCACAGTTTTCCTGATAGAGCTGAATGTAGGTTCTTCATGACTACTGGAACCTGTAAATACGGAGATGACTGCAAATACTTTCATCCGAAAGAAAGGATGGTACCACCACCACCAGATCTCTTAAACCCTGTTGCTCTTTCAGCTAGACCAGTGAGTAGAACTTGCAGTTCTCTTGTCTTTATTATTTTTTTTTTTCCAAAAATTATTTCTGGTGACACCAATGACACTATTATGCTTTTGCTGTGTTCAGGGGAAACCAGCATGTCCTAACTTCAAGAAAGGATTCTGCAAGTATGGAAATAACTGCAAGTTTGATCACCCAAGTCCACTAAACTCTTACGATGGTACAGGCCTGACCATGCCTTATCTGCCTACTGCTTATGCTTCACCTTTTACAACTCATCAGCCAAGCCGGTCTGACTCAACTGCTCTCTCCAATGGTAGTAAATCTGCTGCAGAGAATCACACCTCAGAGACTGAGAAACAAGACGACAAGTCTGAAGTGCAGGACCACCCATCACAACTAAGCGGCTCTGACTCAAGTGCTCTCTCTAATGGTAAAAAACCTGCTGCAGAGAGTCACACCTCAGAGACTGAAGGAACAGAGAAGTCTGAAATGCAGGTTCCATCACAAGAAAGCAGCTCTGATTCAACCGCCCTGTCCAATGGTAATAAACCTGATGAAGAGAGTCCAAGTTCAGAGAGTAAGAAACATGAAGACAATCCTTCACAACCTGACAACTCAGGAAAGCAGAACTCATCAGATAATGCTTCATGATCATATGATCTCAGAATCAATATCTAACAGTCTCAAATGGTCCCTCTTCCCTTTTTGTTAATTCTTTGGAATGAGGGCTTGGAAATGGTTTATCTTTTTATACTCTTTTTTCTTTTGGGTTTCAGCCATGGCTGAAACAAAATAGGAAATGAACAATGTTTTTTGAAATGGTTAATAAAACAAAATTTGACATCAATAAACACTTTTTCAGATGTTCAACCAATCTGGTTCACTATCCTCTTTGTTATAAATTTTAGGGAAAATCTCATAGTTTATGTCACAATAATACTCAAAATTCTAAACCATAATACTACCTTCTAAATCTTAAACTCTAATTATTACTGTTTTGGTGATTTTCTCTAATATAAGGGGTAGTAATTTTTTGGAAAAAAAATTTCCATTTTGGAGAACTGAAAAGGCCATTTATTCATTTTAGAAAGAAATCTAAGAAAAGCTTGAACCCTCTCTCTGAGTCAGAGTCTTTAAGCAGAACGGGAAACAAAGTAACGACAGACATCTTACGCTGATGTGTCACTCTACGATTGGTTAACCTACGTAACTCCACGGAGTCTTTCTTCTTAAATCTCCTGCTTCGCAGGATCGCGAGAAAAGAGATACAGTTTCAGGAGAGAAAGTGAAACGAAAGAGGCAAAGAAACAATGTACGAGAGATCACCACTAACGTTGCTCACGCTTCTCTGTCTCTCACTCGGATTCATCAATCTCACCAATGCTCTTTACGGATCTTCGTCCCCTGTGGTCCAGCTCACTGCCTCTAACTTCAAATCCAAGGTAACATCTTATTTTTGAAGATTAGGTCGGTGATTATGAGCTAGGTTTATAGATCCGGTTTAGTTTTATTATGATTCAACAATTAGTTGGTTTGGATAAACCGGAGTGAGATTTGATTTGTTGTTAAAACATGTCAGGTAGTTAACTCAAATGGAGTAGTGTTGGTAGAGTTCTTTGCACCGTGGTGTGGTCATTGTAAAGCTCTTACGCCAACGTGGGAGAAAGTGGCTAGTGTTTTGAAAGGTGTTGCTACTGTTGCAGCTATTGATGCAGATGCTCACCAGTCTGCTGCTCAGGTTTTTTGTGGTTTTCTCTTTTTTTTTTTTAGTTTTGGATTATTTTGACAAAGTTATTCAAAGGTTGTAACTGTTTTTCACTCGCTATAATGCGCAGGATTATGGTATTAAAGGGTTCCCAACTATTAAGGTCTTTGTTCCTGGAAAGCCTCCTGTTGATTACCAAGGAGCTAGAGATGCTAAATCCATTGCTAATTTTGCTTACAAGCAGGTTTTGTTTCATGCCTCCTTTGTTGATTCTTAATTACTTATTTTTTTCTATTGGGTGAATCTGAAGACATTAGAAGATATTCCGCTACCATGTTATTATCTTTTTGTTAGAAGCATATTACATATCCTGAGTAATATGCCATGACTATGTACATGAACTTTAATACTCTTTATACCTTCTTGAAGAGTACTGCATATAGCTATGTAGTGGAATCTCACTGATTTTCCGTCAAACAAAGTATAACACAGATCATATTTTTTGTTTTTGTCCATTTTGCTCTCAAAAAGTATCCTTTAAGATACAAAAACAGTTGATGATAAATGGGGTCAGCATCTTTAATTATACATATAAATTGAAGAACCATAAGTGGCCATTTTAATTTGGATTGGACATAGAGCATTTCTATGCCACACTCGTGTCCTTGCACTCAGGAATGCTGATTGATGTTAACTTTTTCTCAGATTAAGGCTCTTCTGAGTGACCGTTTGGAAGGGAAAAGTAAACCAACTGGAGGAGCATCTAATGAAAAGAAATCTGAGCCTAGTGCATCTGTGGAACTAACCTCTAGCAATTTTGATGAGTTGGTCATCAAAAGCAATGACCTCTGGATTGTTGAGTTTTTCGCACCGTGGTAAGTTGTGATTTCTGACCCAATGGACTGTTCATGCCTTTAAATGCATTGGTGTAAAACATCGTTTCTTTTCCCTTTCTTCCAAAAGGTGTGGACACTGCAAAAAGCTTGCCCCAGAGTGGAAAAAGGCTGCAAAGAACTTGAAGGGGAAGGTGAAATTAGGCCATGTCAATTGCGATGTTGAGCAGGTAATCGCTATAAATGTTTACATGCTTCTATCTTTGTATCAAAACTCCTGTATTCATTTGGTCCTGCGATGAGTTCTGACCAATATTGTTATACATTGCAGTCGATTATGAGCAGATTCAAGGTGCAAGGATTCCCTACAATTATGGTATTTGGTGTAGACAAAAGCAGCCCATATGCTTATGAGGGTGCTAGATCTGCGTCAGCTATAGAATCTTTTGCTACAGAACTTGTGGAGGCTAGTGCTGGGCCTATTGAAGTGACTGAACTAACTGGACCGGTATCATTTTCACGTCACTTCTTTTTTAAATGGTACTTTGCTCCAAGTCAAGACATTGACATTTGTTTTACGTGATTGTATAGGATGTTATGGAAAAGAAGTGTGGTTCTGCTGCTATTTGCTTTATTTCTTTCCTACCTGACATTCTCGACTCCAAAGCTGAAGGAAGGAACAAGTACCTCGAGATGTTGTTATCCGTTGCAGAGAAGTTTAAGAAACATCCTTACAGGTACGCTAAGAAATATTGTTTTCTCGCTGCTGCATCATGGTCCTTTTTAGAGTCTCCTCAGTCTGGGGAGAATGTTTTGATGTTTTTATGTGTCCTTCGGAACCTAAAGTGAGGAATCTACCTGAATTCTAAGAACTAAAAGACAATATTATACAAGTGTCAAGACATTGAATCGATATAATGAACTCAGATTTGAGGTTTAGGGGTACTCATAGAAGTGTTAGGAGTAGCTTTGATAATATCTGGACAAGGGTCCTTATTTTTCATGCACATCTCAGGAAGGAAACCTTGTTTAAGTTCAAATGAAACTATCATGTGAAAACTGCAGTTTTATGTGGGTGGCGGCTGTAACGCAGCCAGATTTGGAGAAGAGAGTTAACGTGGGAGGATACGGTTATCCAGCAATGGTAGCCATGAACGTGAAGAAAGGAGTATATGCTCCTCTTAAAAGCGCATTTGAGCTACAACACCTCTTGTAAGTTTGGTTCGACTAGAGATCTCAATGGTTTATATAAACCAGTTTACTTGGTGATTTCTCCAATCTTATAACACGTAATCTTTGTTTGTGTCACACCAGAGAATTTGTGAAGGATGCTGGGGCTGGTGGAAAAGGAAACGTGCCTATGAACGGAACACCGGAGATCGTTGAGACAAAAGCGTGGGACGGTAAAGACGGGGAAGTGATCGAGGAAGATGAATTCTCTCTTGACGAACTCATGGGAGGTGATGATAATGCCAATGTAGGTACCAAGGATGAGTTATGAAGAATCCAAGTTTTCACCTGATTTCTCAACTTTTTGATTGCGAACCGTTTGAATGCTTCTCTCTTTATATTGCCAGAAAGAAAGATAAGAGACAGGAACCGTCCACATGTAGAACTTCTAAACATATAGACACATTATCAGAGAATGTTTGGTGAGAATGGGGGTGACATTAGAGTACATCACCCTTCACTTTTGTTTTGGTGGTTTCGTCTTCCTAAGAAAAGTATTACCAACTCTTCAAGTTTCATTTCAGTTTACAAATGGTTTTGGTTAGTTATTTGTATCTATGAAACTTGCATAAGTACAAAACCATAAAAATCGAGCCGAAATGAAGCTTTAATAGACTGTCCACTAAAACCAAGTTGATTCAAACAGTGAACAATGTTCATGACTGGCGCACAATGTTCATGACTTGCTCATAGTTGAGCCTATTTCCTTACGATCGTATGACAAAATTTAGAATCATGTACAACAAAATCTGGGACACACTTTCAAACCTAAAGCTTAAACTCATCAGCTAATCTCTCTTACATATATATTCTTACACAAGTGTGTTGATGATACAAAAGCTCACATGACTCTCTTCTTCCACAATATAGGCTCACTTGCTTCTTCTCATGTCTCTATAAGGCGTTTTAGTTTTATCATCTCCTAGCTACTAGTTAACGTCTTCTATCCTCCATAAACATTCTTTTCTCAACGGCGAATCTGTGAATATAGCCTTGATGAAATCTTGTACCTGAAGTGCCACCCACACATATCATTACAAAAGCTCAGAATCTCTTCATAACGGAAAACAAGTTTAAAAAAAGATTGTACCTCTGTTCTTGTAAAATTGCAACTAAACAACTCGCCACTTTCCCAAGCTGAAGTTATAGACTTAAGAGGCATATCCAATAGTTCTGCAAATGAGAAACACAAAAGAAAATAAGTCATGGAACGAAAAATTTACTGAGACGCCAATCCAAGCTTAGCGTTAAACTCTGGGGAAAAAAATAAACAAATTAGTAAAGACATGCCTGCTAATTTTCTTGTTTTACGCAATGATGGTATGAGATCATCAAGTGGACGAGAAGTATCGTCTGCAGATATCAAGGAACCCAGTAAAGAAGATAGATTCTCCAACATGAGATGAATCAGTCTTTGTAGCTGAGAATAAGCAAACCCGTTATAATAGCCAAGTATGAAGAACCCTTGCACAAGGAACTAGCAAAGAGAAACAGTTACCTGAAAAGTTTCATCAGCAGCCATGTCGTCGAGAAGAAGAATGTCTCTGGTTATTCTTCGAAACACTGACTCCAGAACCACGCACATGCTTTGTTTGTAAGTTTTGGACCGTAGGACCGGCTCCCATACCAAATGCACTTTCTCAAGACTAAACACAACCTATAAAACAATTGCACTTTTCTGATAAAACTGTTACTTAATAAAAAAGATGTAAATGGAACATATATATATTTCAAGACTGAGCAACTACCTGCTCAACGCTAAATTTTGCAGATTCGAATTGCTTTATTTGATGAGTATCCTGGAATCCATCTGCACTGTCTATAGCCTGATGATAGATGCAAAATATTAGATGAAGAATCAATGATCTTTCAACTTCACATAA